TGGAGTGCATCAGGAAGCGGGAATTCAAGACAAGGCTAGATGCAGAAACAGAACTCGAAAGGATGAAGGCATTTTCCGACACCGACGCAGTATAGCCGCTATATTTGTCTGGCGGATAGAATTTCGATCAATTAAAAAGCGGAACCAATTCAATATATTGTAGACCATCAATTGAAAAGGTACTATTAACTTTTATCAACAAAACGTTGATTATTCATTCATCGCCAATCGAATGCAAATTACCGGCATCATCGGATTGGGGAAGCTTTCCCCAACCCAAAGATGGTGTTAGTTTGCGTAGGCCAGCCTTGAGTCACGAGAAAAGGGTTTCCGGAGTTTTGCTCGCAATAGCTGATGTGCTATTTTCTGTTGTTGGTCGTGATTTGCTCGATTGGTTCCGCTATTCTTTGGTGAAAGCAATGGAAATATTAACCTTATTTGACAAAACACAGGTAATAATGACGTTTGATTATTGAAAACAATTTGAATGAAGAAAAGAGACCTACTTGCTGTCATGATTACCTGAGATTTGTAAAACAATGTAAATATTTAAACCGATTGCATCGAAGAATTTGACAGTTCAATTGGTTCCCGAGATTCTAGCCGCCAGACTATGAATATAGCGACTATACGACGCAGAGGAGAGGATTATGGTTCCAGTCGATTTATACAATTCTCACGCGCTCATTTTCTAAGTTTTTTGATATCGGTAATAATTTCACTGTGCAACAAATCGGAACTTTCTCTGTGAATACTGTGTGAAGTACTGTGAATTTATATGGATTTTAAATTTTGGAGGAGGGGTTGCCTAGTTTGAGAAATCACCCAAACGAAGGGTAAGACGGCAAAATTTCAAATATTCTAGAAAAATGTTCCTTCAATCGTTTCCTACAAAAAACTCTTCAACAGCAATATCGTAACATGCTTTAGTCAGGCAGCATACGACCATCATCGGGACAACATACCAAAATTCATAAAGAGGGCGGTACCAAAAAATTAGGACGTGTTAGGATATAAGTATGTTCTAGGATTTTACTCAGGGGACAACAAGACATTCAAATATTGTCAATTTTCTCAGTCCTAGAAAGTTGTGTTATTCTTATAATCAGGCAAGACCAATAATATTTTTAAATTGAATAAAATAACAATAAAATATGCACTTTGACTATATGTTTTTAGTATTACTTCTACGTGAAGTCAACGATTTACATAGTTGAAGATGCTAATTTCAAATAACAAACTGTAGTGGAAATTTTTATACGATAGATGGGGAGTAGATGAAAGCATAGAGTTGATAGTTCCGTTAGAGTACGGCAGTGTGAAGATTGCATATAGATATTAGAATAGCGAGCTAGAACAACTTTTAAGGAAGGTACAAATCGGTTTTTTCATCTCTCTTTACCAAACTCCCCCTTTGGAGAGGGATGGTGAGGGGTGCCCCCCCCCCCGCCACCACTGGCAAAAAGAGATGAAAACCGACCCGCTCAAGTACCAACTGTGTGTTTGAAACAGTTCTACCGATTTTTACCGCACTTCAGTTGTTATTTGAAGGAAGGCATCCAGTCGTAGGTTTGGAAATTGCAACTATTGTTTACCCCTACCACGATATGTGCTCCTGTCATCGTCGACTTGACGATCTCGAGGGGAAATCTAAACATACCAGCACATATTATGGTTTTTACAGTGAATTTACATAAATTATAGGGGGGTACCCACTTTGAAAAATCACCCAAACGAGGGGTGAGACAACGAGATATTGTATTAAAATGTTCTAAAAAAATGTTTCTCAAGTCATTTTCTAAACTCTTGGACGGCAATGTGCTTTAGTTAGGCAGTATACGACTGACATCGGGACAACATACAAAAATTCATAAAGAGGGCGGTACCAAAAAAAATTAGGACGTGCTAGGGTATAAGTTTGTTCGAGACTTTTACTCAGGGGACCACGAGAAAGTCAAATAAAGTGAATTTTTTCAGTCCTAGAAAGTCTTGTTGCACAGTGTTTTCAGAGTATTTTGTTGTTGTTGTTGTAGTACCTATTTTTCTTATCTGTGAATCTTAGGCCTCTGATAAGAATGATAGTTATAATGAGGTTTTTATGAAGGTATAAGAGTGCTTCAAGTTTTATATCGGCCATGAAAAAGTATTCCACAAAACATAATTGTATGTTTTGTTCTGGTTTTATTCTTCAGTTAAAACGAAGACATCCAATCAAGAACACTGGCAACTCTTCCAGAATCCAAGCGACAGATACAGTAGTGCTGCGCCCGAGCGAATGTGGAAGTAACACATAGAGAAATGAGCAAATACACAAACCATTCTTCTTGGGTTGTAATTACTATCCAATTCGTTGGGTTTGCGTGTGCGAAGATGACCCGATTGTGCTGGTCTCATAGCGGTTTTATGAGAAAATGATAGAGTTGCCAGTCTTCTTGATATGTTGATTTATGCGAAATTGCGCTTAAATTTACACAAATATCACATAAATTTACGCGAAATCTAGCGTTAATTTTACGTGCGCTAAATCTCGCAGAAATTCACATGAATTTTTTAAACGGTGTAGTGATACAGAACCTTCTTACAGCTTCTGTTAAAACTTTAAAGTCTGAGTTTTAATTTAGTAGTTTTAAAATATTTTTATAGACTAATTGATGGTCTGAACTTATAACAACCACATAAAAGCACAATACAACCACAGGCTGCAAGGGATGGTATGATAAAACAATGATAAAATGATAATAAATCTTCCAAGCATTTAGATTGTTGCTTGGGCCATATGCGTCCGTTTCCTTCATTCCTGTTGAGTTAAGTTGAATCCCGTTCTTTGTTGATCAAGAGGCTTTCTAAAACATCCAATTGCCATGGTGTAGATATGGTTCGTAAAATCGTGACGTCCTCCGTCGATAGTTGGTGGTCCTCGGTGAAGATGTGTTCTGCAACTTATGATTTGAAATCATATGTTAGGCCTTTTTCCTCTTGCTTTTTGGCCTTTTTAACCTCGGCCCTTATTACGGGTGTCACTTCACGGTTAAAACGAAGTCAAGTGACCAGTTCTCACTCAGTAATTGCCGTGTAAATCAAATGGGAATCACTTCACCGTGAGTGATAAGTTGTCACTTCACCGTGAAGTGATATCGGTAATAAGGGCCCTCCGCTGTATGTTCTTTAAGTTGCTAAAGTTCTCTTGGTTTGTCCTACATTTTTAGGCAGTTACGTGCACGTAGAGTATTTGTTACGCATTTGTGGGGAAATGCTATTCATGAATTTACTTTCACTCATTTAATGAGTAATCCCATGATTAAACACCCCCTGGGCGGTGTTAGCTGGTTATTCGTTGTTTTATCGGGTTGACATGGTAACACTGCCATTCGGATGGATACATTGATCATTTATATTTATAGAATTCAAAACAGAAATATTCACCAGTGGAGAGACGGGACAAGCTCACGATAGGTCATTGTGGCCCTTGGTACTAATGACTATAACTATGACTAGCAAGCAACTTAATTTTTCATCATTGTGTGATTTGATAAAATTATGGGTTTTTGTGAAGAAGAGTCGGTGGATTCATTTAATTTTCACGCAAAACATCCTCTTATGCCAGCAATATGGCATCATACAGCATGTCAAAGACATCATGATGTTTTGACATGCTTGCAGATGCCGCACATCCGCCACATCATTAGGCACTTTGACTTAAGAAACAACTACTGTGAAGGAAAATCATCAAGAAATCTTATTTACTTGAATACTAGATATCTTATCATTTTATAAAATAATGAATCAAGTCTCCCTATGGTGGGAAAACATGGACCATTTTTCCAAATAACAGAAAAATGAAAAGAATTAAAAAAAAACTTCACTAAACATAATTTTCTTCAACTGCTATGTTCATTTAAGGGTCCCTTAGCAACGATTCTTTGATGTGATGGGCAAAAATATTGATTTGAAATATTACTGGCTGAGATATTTAAAAAATAAAATAAAGGGGGGTCAAGTATCCCCACCATTAACTCATGTGAAAAAATGCATGAAATTGTTTCCCCTTTTGTTATTAGGTGAATATCATTAAAGAAAAAATGACAGAGATTTTTACGAAGGTCCAGCAAAACTCAGCATTGCTTATTGTACATCACTTAAAACTTGCAATCATGTGAGATTTAATAAATTTGAATTCTTGCTTTTGAAACATTTTCACGGAAATGTATGCTTTACGAGTGGTCACTTTATGCCTGCGAGTTACTTATCGGGGACCCTACTTTATCAAGATACATACAAATTAAGCGAGGCCACCAAATTAATTTAAATCACAGTCGAAAAATCATAGTCCAAACAAACAAGCTTCTGGCGTTCTGAAATGATATGAAACATAAGGCACAAATGCGCATTTTACACTGACATATTTTCTAGTTGAAATACGACAATGACGACGACTACGACGACGACTACGACGGCGATGAAAAGTAATCAGACGTTCATAAATTTAATGAAGATTGATTCCATATGCAGCCGGGTGACAGTGTGCGCCCTTTGCAAGGCCTCTAAAGTGTCTCGGGAACGTCGCGTCGTCGTCGTGTACTTATTTCTAACCATGGCTTTTCGTCGCACTATTGACAAGTTTATCGTTCATATCTGATTTGACGGCTCGTGTCTGCTTCTGCTCTCTTAATCTGACTTCGCGTGGTCTATGTTCCATGTTACGGTGGTTAAATTAAGTTCCACTTGCTATTGCGGATTGGAAGAAAAATTATATTTATTAGTTGTCCGCAAACGCTTATAAAACTACGGTTCTAGATTAAATCTATTTGGTGTCTTTGGTGCACTTATTCCTCATGACATCCAATAGATTTATCGTAAAACCTTAGTTTTATATGCGTTTGCGCACAACTTATATTTTTTTTTTCTTGCAATGCGCAATACCATAAACGATATATTTCAACTGGATTTAGAATGGTCGCTCATCTCTCTTCTTTTTTTCCTTATGAATGTGTATTTTTCAGATGTCAGCCGGATTGATGTCGTGTGTTCGCGAGAACTCGCCTCCCCTGGAAAGCCCTTCTGCAACACCCGGAACCGGAGCCAGTGGAAGCAGCAATAGTGGACATACCACTGGCAGTCACATCGGTACCAGTGCAACCAGTAACATCCTGGACCCCAATGATATACCGATCACAATCACCACCCCAGAACATCACCACCAAGGTAGGTTTATGTTTAGTTTTGTTTTGTAATAAAGTATACCTATCCAAACGTTCGATAACGTTTACGTCTGCCATGGCGATTTTGCATTGCAGAAGTTATCGACTGTTATTGATTAAACACTCTGATCCAGATGCGAACATCATACGGCATAATTAGATTTTCTCAGAATACTCCATTGGATGGGGGATAGGGCAGAGAGCGAGTGTGTGATTCATCCCTCCCGACGCAAAGAAATGAATCTAAATATGAAAGAAGTGAAAAGTTCAAAGACACCTACTAATGGTAGTCAACATTTTAGTAGGAGCACTTGCTTGCAGTTCAAAGGGAGAGGGAGTGGGACCTGAGCTCAAATAAGTGTGTCTGACAGCGTTTAGACGGTCGTGTCGTTAACGATCCAAACAGGCCCATTATCGCACATCAGTCACCCACAAGCGGTTTGTACTCATCAGGTGGAGTTTTTTTTTACGAGTTTTGAGTGATGGAGAGAATTGATTTTGAATGTTTGAAAAGGTAGTTAGTTATAGGGTAGCAATGATGTTTCAGTATGTAACTCAATCATGAAAATATTCTCCTTAAATAGGTTATAATTTTGCGTAAATAATACATCATGTTTTATTGAAACAACAGATCCTATGAGAACGGGAGCATTCAGAAACTCATATGCAAATATATTCCAAATCCAGTGATGCTGTAAGTAAGATGAAGTCGACGCTCGAAAAATGTATAAAACTACATTGGGACTCAATTTTGCTCATTTATTATTTTTAATGGGCTCAATGTCATACGATAAAGCGTCCACAAATTAACAGAAAGATGGTTGACTTGCACTGCTACTTAAAATTTTCAAGGGATTGTCCGAGATTTACTGCGATTTCATTAATTAAATTTTCTTCTCCATATTATTGCACGTCTTTTAATAAATTGGAATATGACGGCCGCCATCACACAAGTGAAGATAGCCTCGAAATAGCCGTGGCGTAACGTTTGTTGTCTGTGGCTATAGGGAGGTGCCTTTTGCTAAATTTTGAGTCGGTCTAAAAACTTGTTTAAATATTAGAAGTTTACTCTACAGGCAAAGTATGGATTTCCTGTTTATAATAGGATACATACATTTTATATATTTGATTAATTTAGCTTGAATGCCCTCAATATTTAAAAGTTAATTTTTGGTCAAGTACTAATCCAAGATATTTCACTTGACTTGAGAATGAAATTGGAACTCATAGTGACTATGTGACTACTACTAGGTTTAAAAAAGGAAGCTCTAGGCTTATGTGGAAATATTATACGTTGAGTTTTAGAAGCGATGGCAGAGATCTTCCATGTTTTGCAATAAGAAGAAAAAATATCTAAACTTTTCTGCAGTCTGCTGCAAATAACACGAAGACTTCTTCCTTTAGCGGAAATGCCTGTGGCATCAGCAAACAAAAATTTGTGGCAACCCTGAGGCAAATCAGGGAGGTCCGAAGTGAAAATGTTATACAATATAGGCCCAAGAATGCTACCCTGAGGAACTCCTGCTCTAACAGGTAGTCGATTAGATTTGGAATTTTGATAATTTACCTGCAGAGTTCTATCAGTTAAATAATTTCATAATATAGTGTGGAAAATTAAACTTTTTTTTTCAATTTGGCAATCAAACCTTCATGCCAAACACTGTCGAATGCTTTTTCTATGTCTAGAAGAGCAACTCCAGTTGAGCAGCCTTCAGATTTGTTTGAACGAATTAAAATGGTAGTTGAATGCCCATGGCGAAATCCAAACTGCTCATCTGCAAAAATTGAGTTCGTATTGATGTGAAGCAACATTCTATTTAAAATTATCATTTCAAAAAGTTTACTTATTGGACGGTAGCTAGAAGCTTCAACTGGATTTTTATCCGGCTTCAAAATTTGAACAACTTTTGCATTTTCCATTTACCAGGAAAGTATGGCAAATGGAAACATCTGTTAAATAATTTTACCAAGAAAGACAAGGTACTCTCTGGAAGTTTTTTGATGAGGATATAGAAAATTCCATCATCACCTGGAGCTTTCATATTATGAAATTGTTTAGCTATAGATCTTATTTCGCCCAAATCAGTCCCCCAGGAATCATCAAAAATATTTTCCCGAGAGAAAGTATTCAGATAATCCCGAGCAACCTGATTCTCAAAAGGACTAGTAAGACCCAAACTGAAATTATGGGAACTCTCGAATTGCTTAGCAAGTTTCTGAACTTTTTCGAATTTGTGATTAAAATTTTACCACCTTCTTTAAGCGCTGGAATTGACTTTTGTTTCCAAAAGGGTTTGGAACTCGGGTCTAATTTAGAAACATTATTATTTTATTATTTTCAAAAGTTTTGTTCCTCAGGGCAGAGAATCGCTTTTTAATTTGTTTTTCCATATCCCGCCAGATAGCTTTCATGGCAGGATCGCGTGCTCTTTGATATTGTCTCCTACGAACATTTTTAAGACGAATCAAGAGCTGAAAATCGTCGTTTATTATAATTGAATCGAATTTAACCTCGCATGTTGGTACTGAGGCAGCTCTTGCTTCAACTATAGAAGTAGTCAGAGATTCAAGAGCATAATTAATTTCATTTTTGGTTTGCAATTGAATGTTTGGATTAAAGCTATATACCATAAATGTTCGATATTGCTCCCAATCAGCTCTATGTTAATTGAAAGTAGAGCTGTTGGGATAACAAATTATTTCTTGGGATATTTCAAAAGTTAATGGAAGGTGATCAGAATCGAAGTCAGTGGGTAACCAGTTGGCTACAAAGTTAACATGAATCAGTTAAGACCAAATCAATAGTTGAGGGATTTCTTGCTGAAGAAAAGCATGTTGGGCTGTTTGGATATTGAATAGTGTAATAAACTGCTGAACAATCATCAAACAGAATATTACCATTGGAATTGCTTTGAGCGGTGTTTTTCTTAAAAATCACCAATAATGAAGAATTTAGACCTATACCAGGTAAGTTTCTGAAGGTCACCCTTGAGAAAATTCTTTTCTGGCCTACGCATTGGAATGGCAAATAGGCAGCTATAAACGTAAGTTGTTTCAAAAACTTTAGTTTCAAATGAAGAAAGAATTTATGTTTGATTCGTCTATGAACAATGATGGCAACGCACATCAAGACGATCATTTCTATAAATGAAATAATTTGCGTCCTTCTTAATCTTATGGTCAGTTTTATAGAACGTTTCAGTCATAACGACATTATGCACGTTATGAACTCTCAAAAAGATAAATAGCTCGCCTTTATTATCTTCAAGGAGCATTCCAATTTAAAATATTTAATGCTTTAAAATCCATTACTGAATTTCAAAGTCATGACAATATTGTTCACAAATTTTACTCCAGTTTGAATAGCATCAAACATAAAGCTAGTTTTTAGCATATCAGAAATCATTTCAATTAATGATTTCTGTAAAAAATAAATTTTTCGAGCAGTAATGCTTCCTAAGTCAAAATTTTCAAAATTTCCGCTAGAATTACGTTGGTTAGTATTTTGATTTCTACTAACTGCAATAGCAGTTGGTAGCTCGATTTACTCGATGAAAATTGTTAGCAGCGAAGGGAGCACGTATAGATAAAGAATTTAAAGCAGGGGTGATTTTTGTACCTACGGGTACGAATGTAGAATTTGTTCCTCGCTGATCGTTGTTAACAGCAGAGGAATTTGTACCTGACCGGAAACGTGGAGCGTTCCTTCCTGTCGCTTAGAACGAGATTGTAGGATCGCTTTACGAGTCTTACATTCCCAAAAATTGGATTTGTGGTTTTCACCACAATTTGAACCTCTAAATTTCTTAGGATCTTCCTTCACAGGACGGTCGTCCTTTGCGTGAGAGAAATCAGCTGGCATGTAGCAATTTTTTGTTCCATGCCCCATCTCTGGCGCCTACGGCACTGGGTGAGGTTTTGGAAATTTCCTCCAGTCTTCCTGAAGTGTTCCCGCTTCACTCGGGCATGGAACATAAGGCTAGCTTTTTCCAAAGCCTCAAGGTTGCTTAGTTCACTAGACTTGAAGTGAATTAAATAAAAATCATTAGAAATCCCGTTGCGCGAGTCGCCAGGACGGGATTTCATTTTCATTTTAATTACTTAAAAATTATAGTATGATACTTGAGAAGGCATTTAAATCCGTCCAAGGTTTCAGCCAATACACGGCATTCACCCCGACGTCCAATTTGTAGTGAAAACTTGAATTTCACGAAGTTAAAAAGTTCCGTGCGAAGAACATGAAAATCGGAAATGGTTATCACAATAGGGGGAATCTTTGCCTTTTTGGCACTAAGCCGGGAAAGCTTACTAGAATTTTTCCTAGATGATGGATCATTCTCAGCATCCGTGAGCAAATCAAATTGATTGCTCAAATTAATTTCATCAGAAGGGGGATCAAGAGTTTGCCCCTTTCTTTTGCGCTTAGGCGCCATGGCGGCAGTAAATTTTTATCAAAATCGACTTCCAAACAGATTACTATAAGAATCTGAAGGATCAAAGAGGAATTTTCCAAATCGATATTCAAGTAGGATTACCTCGGGTAGAGCTCAAAAAAAGATCGAAGAGGAATAAGAGTCGAACAAGGTAGAAAATTTACAGGTATATTGAGTGCTGAACGCTGTTAAAATTTGTCGTAGCTTTAGGTAACAGTAACACTTCCTTCAGCGAAAAGCAAATATATCCACACGGCAAGAGAGCACGATGCGGACTGATCTGTTTTTGGTCTTTTGAATTATTCCTTACCATTCCTAACAAGATAATATGTTGCAACTTTGAAAATTCTCCAAAACAAAAGTAAAATATAAATTCTCAAAACTACGTTTTTTCCTCTTTTGATGAAATGCATTTTTATAAGGAAGAGTGTGCGCTTTTACGTTGTATCGTCTTGGTGTCTTATGCGCACTTTTTCGCTATGACCCAAGAAAAAAGTGCACCCAAGACACCAAAACGAATGTAAAGGCGCACTTTTATTAGCGCAATGCGCTATAAATACTCTCGAGCAGG